CCGCTAGAAACCTTGCCCCGGGGGGCAGTTTGACCCGTAGAACACGAATATCGCATCCGCTTGCCACGAAAACGCCTGGCGCCCGCGCCACAGGCGCCGGCGCCAATTGGCGCTGGATCACCAAACTCGCTGAAAACTTGCCCCCTGGTGTAGTTTGACCCGTAGAACACAAATATCGCATCCGCTTGCCACGAAAACGCCTGGCGCCCGCGCCACAAGCGCCGGCGCTATGCTTTTCGACGTTCCCATGTGACGTCACTAAATGGGAGCATTTTCTCACTGAATTCAATGGGAACAGAGCGTTTTCGCGCCACAATCAATAGAGCGTTTTCGCGCCAGAATCGAATGGAAGCATTGCTGAGCTCGCAAGTTCTTCATTTGTACCCAAGATGGCTCTCAACGCAATTCATCGTCGTAATCGCATGATGGAGCTGAAGGATTTCAAGTGGTTGGACTTGTTCGAGAGGATGAAATTAAACGCGGACGACTTCCGAGCCTGGTTACGGAGCCTAGGACTAGAAGCTGTTCCAGTGTGCCCAATGTGTTCTGGATCCATGACCCTTCGACCTCAAGACGATGTATGGATCTGCCACAGACGGTCTTGTAGAACGAGTGAGGGTACGAAGCCGTCCTTATCTGCCAGGCACAGGAGCTTCTTTGCCAATTCCAAGCTCCCGGAGTCCACCATCTTTGCGATTGCCTACTTCTGGCTGCGTGAATTCGGATCCTTCCGAACAAAGTCGTTTGAGCTTGGAGTGAGTGCGAAGATGCTGACCCACTGGGAACGTCGTTTCAGGAGCATCTGTTCTCGCTTCTATAGAAGACATCCTCCAATTATTGGCGGACCTGGAGCAATTGTAGAAGTTGACGAAACTAACGTCACGCGAAGGAAGTACAATCGTGGCAGGATTGTGCGAAGAAAGGAGTGGCTGTTTGGTGGTATCGAGAGAGGTAGTGGCCGCGCATTCATGGTTCTGGTGAGACGACGTGATGCTGCTACGCTCACGAATATTATTCTCAAATTCATCCGACCAGGAACTACAATAATGTCCGATTCATGGAGAGCATACTCGCAGTTGTCGAGATTGCCTGCCGGATATCGACACCTCACCGTGAACCATATGGTTAACTTTGTCGATCCTCTTACTGGCGCCCACACCCAGAACATCGAATCGTTGTGGCAGAAGTTCAAGATGGTACCCAAAAGGAAGTATGGTTTGAATACGAAGCGATACACCGATTACATCAGAGAATTCCTGTGGCGTCGCGAGTTTGGAGAGCCTGGAGAGATCATCTTCAACTTCTTCGAGCATATTGCAGAGATTTATCCGTGTTGAACATCTTCCACCGAGTCACGGACCAACAGTACTAAACCAACGGCCCTCTTTAGGGCCACAAAAGAATACGAATGCGATATTCCCATGTATAATAAACGTGATATGTGTGTTCTACGGGTCAAACTACACCAGGGGGCAAGTTTTCAGCGAGTTCGGTGATCCAGCGCCAATTGGCGCCGGCGCCTGTGGCGCGGGCGCCAGGCGTTTTCGTGGCAAGCGGATGCGATATTTGCGTTCTACGGGTCAAACTACACTGGGGGTCAAGTTTTCAGCGAGTTTGGTGATCCAGCGCCAATTGGCGCCGGCGCCTGTGGCGCGGGCGCCAGGCGTTTTCGTGGCAAGCGGATGCGATATTCGTATTCTACGGGTCAAACTGCCCCCTGGGGCAAGTTTCTAGCGGGTTTCGTGCGAAGAAGGAAAAATTCGATAAAAATCCAGCTCAATCTTCACAAAGTGGGGCAGTAAAGGGGTAAATAGTAGCATAAGAGAAGGCTGTGGGATATAGACGGTAATGAGAGGGTCTGGTGCGGGAGAATCGATTGTAAATAAATAATTCTGAAAAAAAAAACAACTATGGATTGTCCCTGGCCCCGGTTATTTTGCCCGGTTGTATTTGCGGTGAGGGGGGGGCGGGGACGCATTTGAGTGGTTACCTTGAATTAGTATTTACTCTGACCATATATGTCAACGCACCGAACCCTCACAGGGCGAGGTCAGACCGATCAATTTGCTCCTAATCCTTTCGGCGGAATCGCGAGTCGTACAGGTCGCGGACTAGAAGGAACTGCATGGAGTCTCTTTACTCATTCACTTCTTGGGACGGCAATATCACCCAGTGTTTGGTGATACCCGACCTGGGACGGTGGAGTGACATCCAAGATCTTGAAATGCGTGGATTTTTTTGCCAATTTTCAGCTACAGTACAGCATGTTGTTAGGGAAGTCATCGGTATTTCTGCGGTAGTCGTGGTCCAGTAGATATTTGACCAAAAGAATGCTTGAAAGTGAAGCATATAAATTTCGGGTATATGAAGCCACCATTTTTTGTGGGCAGTTAGCCAACGCACTAGTGCTACATTTAGCAAAGATAGATCCTTATCCAGCTCCATTTATGGAAGTGAAATCAAGGAGACATTTTCAAGCCTGCTTCGCAAACCTCCTCGCACGATTTATCAGACCAAACGAGTAGGCTTTACCGTGGTTGGAGGCAAACCGCAAAGGTTGAGCTGAACAAAGTCTCAATAGTTTCTGCATCAAGTTATGGTACTTTGGTGTAGTTGCTTTCGTATATGCGGTGGCCAAGAAAAGAAAAAATCGCTCTCCTGGGCTGTCGTCACTCATAGTATGTGGTCTGCACTCGACGCTCTTCTCGTTTTTTCGAAATACGGCGTAAAAGGGAACAGTTGACATGCAGGGGTCATGGCAGATTGTCGTCAAGATGCCAAGTTATTGAAACGTGGTGCTTATGTAGTTGGAAGCAGAATAACAGTCTGCTGATTTACTAACGGGGGTTGTATTGGGAATTCGAAGGTCGTATTTCTGAATTTTGTGAAGTGGGTTGCTGCAAAGGCGGGTCGCCTTTCAGAGAGGCTGTGGCGACCGAAGTTGATGTTATCGCCCTTGACTATTTCAAAAGAAATGTGGATGTTTGTGGAAACGTTCGGAATCGGTCAAATTGGAGGATTCCTCGTTTCTCCATTCATATTTACTCGCTCTCCGTTTGATGGAGTAGTGGAGGAAAACGCTGGGCGGAGCTTGAGTGTGTCGAATGGTCTCAAAATCAAATACTGCAGAAACAGCCGTGGTGGTAAGGGGTGGAGGTGGTGTTGTGAAGTCGTGTCGAGGTGCTCTCAAGAAGGGGAGATTTGTGGAAATTTTTTATAAAACGGCACAAGGATCCTGACTGGGGGACCGGATCTCGCCCTTACCAACCTAGCCATTTGTTCCTCCAGATTCGTGATTGATGTCGGTGAAATCCGATTTATCGAAAAACGCCGCAGTAAATATAAGCTGCCTTCCTTGTGCGAAATGATCACGCTTTCAATTGCCTGCGATCTTGAATGAAAGTAGAGGGCATGGCGCACCCCGTAAAGTGTGGCTAGGATCAAAACTTTTCCCTGTTCTCATCAAAATCAAATACGATATTGATTCGAATACAATTTAGTACTGTAGTGATCGAAAATGCGTGTTCCATTCCCTTCTTGACTTTCGTGGAGCAGATTTTTGAATCCCTCGGACAATTTGAAATGTGCCATACGTAACCAGTTATGCATTTTTCCTCATAGAGAAAATAGATAGTGCCATAATTGTGGAACAACTACTCTCCAAGTGTTATTAAAATTATAGTTCGATTTCTGGTTTCCGTGAATTTTACGAGCAAATCACATTATAGCAAAAAGAAACAACCGCCGCAGATGGTTGTTTCATTATTGAATTCCATGCAGTCCGTTGTTGGGAAAGAATTCCGGAGATTTTGAAATTTTAGAGCTGGCCAATTGTTGAGGTGCGCCACAAAACTGGCTTCCATCTAGAGCCGTGGAGTCGATTTCTTTGCGTGGTGTCATCACAGTTGGTTACTCCGCTCTCAGCTCGCTGAGAGAGTGTGGCATTGTCGAAGGCATGAGAATCACAGATACGGCAAAACGAGAGAATACGAACCGGATGAGGGCTGAGAAGGGCTGTCGCCCGGATCGGATGTGCACCGCGGGACTGCTTGAACTCTGTCTTTTGAGCCACCTCAATCCGGATGCTCTCGTC